ACACTCTTATTTGCTGTGTTCTAAAATGCACTTGGGAACCAAAAATTGCTTCTGCTTGTGATAGAGACAGGTTTAATAAATGTAACAATTTGGATGCACAGAGCCCAGTGAAGGTAAAATAAGCATCCCTCCCTAAGTGTCCCTTGGCATGTCTTGTCTTAATGAGTCTCTGCCTCCTTTGGAGTAAGCAGAAAATTTCATAACAAATGCTGCTGGCGAATATTTATGTCTATTAGCGTGAGTGTGTGCGGTTGACTGGTCGGACAATTCCTCAATTTGCCTTATTTGTGCTATTATGTCTATCTATCTATCTATCTATCTATCTATCTATCTATCTATCTATCTATCTATCTATCTATCTATCTATCTATCTATCTATCTATCTATCTATCTATCTATCTATCTATATTATCTTTTTTGCCTGGCGGAAAGTATCAAAGTTGGACTCCAACTGTGTTTGGGGCCTTCAGTCAGGCTGGGTCCTTGGCTCGCCACCTGCTCCTCCAGTCAGAGAGGTAGAAAACGTCCTGGCCACGACCCAGATTCATTCTGGGTTGCTTGGTTGGAGGAATAAAAAATATCATGCTTTATAGCTCAAAGCAGTGCCCCTTTCCTGTTTTGTAAACTTTAATTTCACAGGTATGCTTATCTCCTTAGAGAGAATAAACCTGGCACAGATTTGCTCCAGCAGTAGATGAACGGCGGCTTGCTCAGTTTGTGTTTTTTATTATACAAATTGTGATTTAAAATTCATAATACTGTTTTAGAATTTAATCACTTAAAGCTACATGTTTGTTTCTGTAGCAGTATCACATATAGTGTAATTGTTTGGACATCTGAACTTAGAAACTTCAAAACCATGAAGCATGACTCATCAGCCCACAGGACTGTAGCATTTATGAACCTGGCTATGAGAAGCAAAACACCAACTGTTGTGTGTGTGCCCAGTTTCCTTTGGACTATGCACTCACTGCTGTTTTTGTGGTAGTCTGGAAATGTTTAATTTCTGTTCAGAGCGAAGTCACTCGTACTTTATTTGCATAAATATAGTGAATCTGCCTCTCTTCGGGAGTATGAGACACTCTCATACTGCAGACCTATTTTTAGCCACGCTAGTTGTGTGGCGCCTTAGTATGAGTTTTACGTGGGCGTGCCATGCTAGTTTAAACAACTATTGGATGAATTGCCATGAGATCAGGAGCTGAGCGGGGGGAAACCCAAGTAAACTCCCTCCTGGTTTACCCACCTCTTTGAAATGAGGCTGAGAGTTCCTCTATTTTCAGATCAACTGTATGAGTCAATGAGGGGAAACAAGGATGCCACCCATCTCTGGATTTTCCACTTCACCCTGCATGAAATTGCCAGTGGATGAATCCTACTGACTTTGGTGATCCCCAGACTCTTCCTTTAGCACCACCATGAGCCAATGTAATTTGTGTTTAGTGCTAATTAGCAAATGCTAGCATGCTAACATGCTAAAGTAAGCTATGGTCTACATGGTAAACATTACTTGCCAATCAGCATGTTGATATTAGCATTAAGCTCAAAGCACTGCTGTGCCTAAGCCTCACAGAGCTTCTAGTGTGGCTGTAGATTAGTCTTTTTCATTATGTCTTGTAAGATGGCTTTATTGTGCATTCAAATGTTCCCAGTACAGGTTAAAATTATGCATTACAGTAAATAGTGATAGTGAGAATTATGCCACTGTAACTGCTGTCCATTGTTTAATATTTTTACAGTAATGGAAATGCAACAAATCTTCCAAAATCTTCCCTCTCATATGTACTCTTGCTTTGTGGTTGACACTGTATCGTTTTCATAAAAGCCACTGTAACATTTATGCCTTTAAAGGCCATTATCCTTGGATTTCCCTTATTAGAGGGGAGAGGCTGAAAATAAAAAGATAGAAAAGTCCAAGAAGGATGTAACTACAAACTGGCTGATATTTTGTAAATTGTACCATCATTTTGCTCGTATCTTTTCTCAATTTTTTGGCTGTTCAGTATTTTACAGCTAAACCCAAAATAGCTTTAAGGATCCCCATCTGACACAGTTCACATTTCGAAGCAGTACCTGCAGTACCAGTCAGTCAATACCTCAAAAGAAAAACGCAAAAAAAGATAGAGCTGAGGTCTCCGAGGTGTAAAGCTCATATTCTTTCTTCCAAAAAGTGGAAACATGCATCATAACTACCAGGCCTGCTTGTCTTCACTGGTGCAACACTGGAGCAATGATTTACCGTGGTAAAACAGATATGCATATCTGTTTATTCTGACAACACCTTGCACTTTATTCAGACAATTATACCCTCTACAGCCCATCCTTACTGCCATTGCTTCCAAGTTTAGAGATTTGGGGCTGCTTGTCAGCTTTGAAAAACACCTGATATGTGCAGAAGTTCAGTGGGAAGCTTTAGCATGCAGAGCTTTCCCAATTCAGAAGACTAAACACATACAAATAAATCTTTAAAAAAATGACATTTAGTTAGACGAGACTACCACTGAAATAACAAATTCAAATATGTTTTACATTGGATTTGTTTTTCCCCTTTAAATGTAAAAGGAATTAACATTAAACCAAAGCACCTACACACTGACCTATAGGCTACATGGTTGGTTTTATCTGGTTTCACCTCAGAAAAGTGCTCCAAATAGGTAACACAAGGACACACACAAAAGCAGCATAAGTAGCTTATTTAAATGAATGATGTGACTACAAGGTTAGCAGTGGGGGTAGCCATCTTGGAATGATATCCCAAGTCGGGATAAGAGGAGGTTTTCCTGATTTTCCCGTCCTGCTGACACTGCGTGTATGCAACATTAGTATAGCTGGAGGCAGAGGTAGCCTCCAAGAGGAGGTTAGCTTAGCTTAGCATAAAGACAGGAAGCTAGGGGAAACAGCTTGCATTAAGGTTAAAAAATACACCTAACAGCACCAAGTTTGTTTCATCTGTATGCAAACAAATGAGATACATGTTAGTCACTGAGCTTTAGAGGTGCTCATAGGCCTAATTTTTAACTCTGAAGAGAGTAGGGCTGGATGAAATGGTAAAGACATCATATCGCAATTATTTTGACATATATTGTGATATGATTTGCGATTAGTGTGGGAATGATCACCTTTTGCATCACAAATTAAATTTTCACTGAAAAACCAAGCTGGGGTTGGTACCAGACAAACTTGTTTTGGAGAACAAAATTTGTAGATGAGGCCATTTCTGCAGAACTGCAGTACCTCATTAAAATCCTGTTTTATCAAACGTTTTACCTTTGTCCAAAAGTTGCATTTTAGCCATATTGTGATTTTGAAAATATTTGCGCTTAATTGTGCAGCCCCAGAAGAGAGCCAGACTAGATGTTTCTCCTGCTTCCAGTCTTTATGCTGCGCTGAGCGAATCACCTCCTGGCTCTACATGTAGCTTAACACACATCTAACTCTCAGCAAGAAAGTGAATAAGCATCTTTCCCAAAATATCAAACTAATGCTTCAACATGGGCTCTACTTTGAGTATCAGAAAAATAAAAAGACTTTATCTGTGGCTGTAACTGATTCATGAGTGTAAGTGCAGTCCTGCCGCTCTCCACAGCAGTCGTCCCAGAGGAGATATACTGTTTTTACTGTTAGCATGCAATATAATGCACTATTTATGAACATTCATGTCAAATTTATTGCAGCTTTATTTTAGTACAGGGATATGTGCATTCACATGAGTGTGCAGTATCCATACTGGTTCCTGTGTATGCGTGTCGCTGAGCATGTTTTTCGCTCCAGATGGTGCGTAAGCCCATGTAGCTCCCACAGTTATCAATGCAAGCTGGAATTATGCAGACACGCTTTAATTCTGCAAACAACCCCTAATTCTTAATTTAGATATTAATTAGTTTCCCTGTTACTTGGCAAAGCCCTGTGATTTCCCCTGACAGCAGGCATGTTTATAAGTGGGGCGTCTGCTGACGCTTTGCGCTGCAGAAAAGCATGTAGACGATGTAGGAGACTCAATAACATGATTGAAACAAGTTCATTAACGGAGACCTCAGCAGTGGGCCTGAGAAGAAGTGTAATCAACAGCAGGCAGTGAAAACACATAGAAACCATACTTTATTCAGCTTGTGATGTCTGTTTTGACTATTGACACCCTGGATAATATTTAAATTCTTTGATTGCAGTGATAGATGAAGAATCTGAAAAACACTGTAGTCTCTGTTTAGTCTTTTTCATTAGAAATGTAACAGCATTCTCTGACAGTAAACTGTAAGGCCATTGGTAGTCGCCATGAATCATCCAGATGTTGACAGTATTTAATTTGCAAATATTTGGAAGCTCCAGTACTAGATAGCTCATTACTCTAGAGGCATGTTGAAGCCAAAAACATTAAAAATATTAATGAACGTGGGAAGAGAACAATCAACACAATCACTGTTTAAATGTCTTCCCACCGACTATGATGTCAACCTCATGTTTACATAACATCCATCTTCCACCATCTTGTATATTTTCAGATCTGGATGATATAATTGGCTTTATTTATTCCTGTAGGGCTGCATCTAACAATTGTTCTTGATTAGTCTGCAGATTATTTTCTTAAATTTGGCCTGTAAAATTTCAGTAAACACTGACCTATTTCCAACAGCCTTCAGATATTCAGTTATTATGATAAACAACCTAATCTTTTTTTTTTTTAAAGAAATTATCTGATTACATTTGTGACAGATTCTTTTGTTGCCGTGTCCTAGGATTTTTCATTCTGATTCTGAAATCCTAAATACCAGAAAGAATAATTTTACTCCCACTTGCTTTTGGATTCAAGAAGCAAAACAGGATTGTGTTGGCTGAGTCATCCTGGTTGATCATCCCTCTCCATCCTGTTGTTCCACATTATTGCCTCTTCAGCTTCTCACTTTTGCCCCCATGCAACTACCACCTGTCATATTCTTGTTGTTGATAACAACCAATTCTTTTTTTATATCTCCACCTGTCTTTCTCTGCATGTTTTCCCCCAGTGCACTCCAATCGTTGGCCATGGATTTGTGCTGGACAAGTACAAGTGTCAGTGCCGGACAGGATTCTACCATCCAAGTCGAGTGGCGCTCAATGGCTTTAAAAGTAGGTTACAAATCCCTCTGTGATATAAAAATACATTTTGTAGCGAGCTGTCAGATCAAAACTTTGAATCTTTCAAAAACAAGCTTTGGGGATTTATGAAAAAATAAAAAAAACAACCTCTTTTTTCAGCTGACAGGCACACATTTTTTTAAAAATTCTTCTTATATCTTTGAATGGGTATCCTGGGGTTTGTGAGGTTATGTAACCTCAATCTTCAGTCAAAGGATTTTGACTGTATTGTGGAAATATCTACTATGGTTTTAGCTCTAGTGGTAGCCACAGGTGGTATCTGAATCAAACACCTGTTGGATTATAACGTGGTTGTGCAGACACAGAGACACACTGGCATGAACTTGAATAAAGGCTTAGTCACACTTTAATTGACTGTTCACTAAGCCCAACAACCCGTAAGTACTGCTGTCATGCCTGTGTTTGCATTCTCACATGGCATAATGGCAGATTTACCATCGTCATTTCTGAAACAACAACAACAACAACAACTTTGATTTCACCAAAGAAAGTAAACAAAAGCAGACTCCATTTCTAGCTAACAACCATGGATTTTATTGTCTGAAAAGACAAATGTTGGTAGCCGATCTGGTCAGTAGTAGCTTGCTATCATACTTATTTTAATGTTTACATTGGCCTGCGTATTATGGTACAAAAAAATGTATTAAAATGTTGTTTGTTCTAATATGTCCTTTAAGGATTGAATGCTTACTATTGAAAATACTTGTTCAAGCAACAAAGTGGTTCACGTATAGGCCTGTGCTTCAGTTTTACCAGAGAAAACGATGATGAGAAATAATCATTGACACTATGCAAGCTTGGCTGGTGTTAGGGTGTAATGTAAACCTCCCCAAACCAAATACAGAGCGGGACAAGGCTGCTAATGGATCTCTGATAAACTAGCATTCTAGATCCCACAGGGTGGATGTTCCAGTCCTCTTACATTAGAGCAGATAAACACACGGTTTGATTTACTCCTCACACTTTGCTTTCTTTTTTTTTTCATATTTACACTTATGTGTGTGAAGAAATCCCAAATTTACAGTTGCTAAGCTATGATTAGACAATTGCTATTCAGCAGAGGGGTTTAGCAAATGTTCAATTGAAATTTCTTGTCCTGCAGATCCTTGCTGTCATTCTCATATTTCCATTATTACGTATATTTAATGCAGGTGTGACAGATACAATTAATATGGGCTGAAAAGGATAATATCTGAATATATACACACAACTTTAACTCCCTCCTCGTGCTTTGGATGCCTGTATTCTGACACCTCGCCTGAAAGCGCTGCAGTGTCCTCCGGCAAAAAGCTTGGCCCTGATGAGCGAGATAATCAAGCAACTGCGGTGGTTTTCATCCCTGACTCCAACAATACATGACCCAAGGGGGATGATATGCTAAGCTGCAGCTTTATTGTAATGCAGCGCGATGAGGCCTCTAGTCAAACGACTCAGTCTGTGAAGAGCCTCATCTTCCAAACCCCACACAGAACCCGTCATTAAAAATCACTGCAGCTCAGATTGGGTCACAGTAGCTGGCGACCCTGATTTCCCCCCTGAAACCTGTCTGTTATTCCCCGAAAACAGACCAGACTGGAAACAGATTTTGTATTGTTCCCTAGCAACAGGCCAAAAGGACAGATATCAAAGGGGAGAAAGGCTGGAGAGAGAAAAACACAGCCTGCAATAACAAATGAATTATTTGGAAATGTGCAGTAGAACTTCATGAAACATGACATTTGATTTTAATGTCACAATCTTTTTGCTTGTGATCTTAGACATTTTGTCTTTAACAAGACAGAGAGATAGATCTGTGTCTTCTCGTGGAGGTTTGTGAGCATAAAAGACAATTTAGATAATAAACCAAAATGTGGTAAGGTAATCATGAAATAATGACATATTCACAGCCATTGTTTTTTGTCCTCTACCCCCTTACGTGCATGCATCTCACTGATAACATGTGCAGAAACCGATCTACAGACCGGCAACAATTGACTTATATAATATTTACTAATACTTACTTTTTTATCCAAAATCTTATACAGATGTTTTGTGGGTTAGGGTTCATTTAAAGACTTTTAAGTTTACAATTTCCTCTCACTGAAAATGTTTACTGTGTGTATTCAGACAAAGTGAGTTCTGCAGCTTCAAGCAGAGCAGGTAAAATTAAAGAGATTGTGAGGACAATCCCACAGCAACAGCTTTAAAGACTAGCAGTCACTGAAAAACACCTTCTTTGCAGTGAAAGATCACTTCAGATAGGTAATCTGATGGGTGACAGGTGCTGCTTGCATGTGACAACTGACCCCAAACCAAGAGGCAAAAAATCACTGTGAACATCTGGTCCCACTACATGTGTGAAACTGAGTCAAGGAAATGACAACTTAGGGGGGTTTCTTTCCTTCTATCCCCTCTCCATTCACTGGGACAATGATTTCACCCTCAAAAATCCAATCTAGGAACAGACTGTGGGCCCATATGTCTTAAGTAGACCAGTTTTACTCTTCTAATAATCACACATGGTGTAAACTAATGTGAATACATTATTTAGACATACGCAGATAGCACACTCTGAACAGCTATGAAAAACAACCACATTTATATTATATAATAACATAATAATAACAGTTTTATTTAGTTGTGCTGCACAGGATACAGCTTGACTGATGTTGGTACTTGCACTGTAACCTGGTACTGGCCTTTACACAGAAGGGGGTATGGCTCCAACTTAGCCGATAGAAGTTAAGCAAGGCCCCTGGGCCTGATGTCACCCCAACAAGGGTGCTGAAGACCTGCGTCCTGGAACTCTTATCAATTCTTCACTCACTCTTCTTGGAATCATGCGACATTATCTCAATACCTACCCTCTGGAAAACTGCTACCATAATCCCCGTACACAAAAAACCCGGCTCTCAGACCTCAACCACTACCACCCCGTCGCCCTCGCATCCACAATAATGAAGCTCAGTTGTTGATGCTATGACTGCCTGCTACACCTCCTCCAGCACCTGGATTCCCCCGGCACCTTCGTCAAGATCCTCTTTGTGGAAAGCTCTGCTTTTAACACGACTCAAAGGCATCTGATGGTCTGGAAGCTACACCCCTTCAACACTCCCCCTGTCTAAAACATCTCATGCACAATTTCTCGAGTGAAAGACTGCAGGTTGTGTGGGTGGGCACAACCACATCACCTGCAGTCACCACCGAGAGACCCGGGGTTGTGTGTTGAACCCTTTCCTGTACACATTGTACACCAATGACTGCACCAGTCCGTCACCTATCATTACTTACCTCAAATACTGACGACACAGCCCTTCTCACCCTATTCACAGATAAACACTCTGCTCTGCACTCACAGCACGGTTACACACTTCACCAAGTGGTGCGAGGATAACCATCTTCACCTCAATGTCAGCAAAACAAAGGAACTAATAATTGGTTCTTTTCTCACTTCAGCATCCCATTCTCATCAATAACCAAACTTGACAGTTTTAAATACCTTGGAGTGACACAGAACAATAGACTCAATAGGCAATGCAAAAACAAAGTCTGAAGACTCAAGCACCCCATCACCTCCTATTGTTGTACCAGAGCATTATTCAGCCCTCCATATATTGTACGGTCCATCCTGCTTCTTTAACATGTTACCTGTTACTAATCAGGCCAAACTCACAAGTATAACCAACACCGCAGCCAGGATAATTGGTCTCCCTACACCCAACCTTGCAGAGCTAAACAGTAAGGCCATTGACAATCAATGTCTTGTTTTTGTGACATAAACAGATACAGATACAGTAGCTTTGTGTCACATCCCTAATAGATGGTTGTCAAAATCTTCATCCAAATTCACATTAACATTCCACACTCACATTGTGGATGTTAGTGAATGTATGGAAACCAGAGAAGATAAATAGCAAAAGGCAGTCAGAAGGGGGAACAGAAGTAATTTTGTTATACATTTCTAAATCCTTAAACACAGTGAGACTAACTGGAAAAAAACATTACTGCTTTACGTGATTTCTCACATCAGTGACTGCACGACCACTTGATAAATTCATCAGCATAAATAAATTTGGCAGTCAGTTCCCAAACTTAACTTGTTTAACCGTTATTTCAGTACTTTCAGCACATTCTCTTGTCATCATGCTGAAGAACTGTACAAGTTTAGCACAGTGTTTGCATACTGTATGAGCTCTGGGACTTACAGAGGAATTACATGCTTATCAAGTATCATTTTCAAGAAGAGCTGCACAGTGTCTGTGTGGTGAAAATAGAGGATTTAAACTAAATATTGACTCCAAATCCTGCAACAGCAGACGCATCACAGAATTAAGAAATTTTATTTTTGGCATTGCCTGTCGTCTCTTTACATGTAATTGATTAAATTCAGGTTCCAAAGGCGCTTAACAGAACATGTCCAGTCATGCTAATGTGAACTCTAAAACGACACAGTAAAAGTAATATAGGGACAGATTTGATAAACCACATCCAATTGTGACATACTGGTATAACAACAATTATGCAGACGTAATGATGCAGGGAGCAGTGTCACAATATTTTATCCTCCTCTCCTTCATTATTCCCTCGTCTGCCTAATTAAAGGCTGTATTCTTGTAATTATCACCCCCAAGGCTTTGTGATTTATTGGATTGATGATTTCTACTCCTTCAAATTGATTAACTTAGCATTTAATAAGATGTCAGTGTGTGACAGCTAAACGCTAATTAATTATATTGAAAATCCTTTAAAACGCTGCAGTAGATCAGACCTGTGTCCGAGTTGTGATTAGATACGAAATCTTCAAAAGGCTGTTTTTCATCTGTTAGAAGCATACAGATACTTTAGTTCTGCAGGAACACACAGCATGTGAGTATACCCAACACTGAAAACTAAAGTGGTCTCATGTCCTCAGGTAAGGAGCAGGGCTCTAACAGAGACGAGACCTCTGATGTGTCCAGTAAGTGCCTGCCATGCCGCGAGGGCTGCCCCTACTGCCGGGACGACACACCTTGCCTGGTGCAGGAGGATGGTATTCTGCGGCTTGCTGTGGCCTCCTTCCAGGGTCTGTGCATGGTGCTGGACCTGGCCAGCATGGTGGTGGTCTACCACTTCAGGAGGAACAAGGTGAGGATGGACTCACAAGGTCACTGTGGAGGAGTGTTGGGTCTTGAACTACACCAATTTTACACATCAGGACTTTAAGGTTTACTAATCTAATGAGCTTGTGAAAGTAGTAACATAAAATCCTCTGTGGCTCTGGAGGGAGTCAAGTGTAGTGATGTGATTTTAGCTTGGAGACTACAACTGTGCAACAAAAAGTCTGCGTTTGAACCTGAAGGCAGGTAAACTACCAGGTTAAGAGGGTCTGAAGGTACAGTCACATCACATGGATAGTTCTAAATGTGCATTTCCTGTTTTGGTGCGATCTCCCAGCTGGCTCAGACGGACTCAGTCATTATTCACTCCCTTTATTACAATATCACATTACAAGAGTACAAACTGCAGGACTGATTACACAGACTAACATCACATCCGTTTTTGGGGGACTGAGCACTGGGCAATTTAATTTAAACAAATGTGTCCCTTATCCTAACAAGGGTCCAGTATTGAAAGGTTCTTGGAGCTTTACTCATAGTCAGGAAAACTTTTGCTTGGATTTTTTGGCAATTTTTTAAAATGTGTCATTCATGAGTGCCTACATTTTAACAATGCTAAACCCCCACAGTGCTCCTTTAATTACTTTTTACTGCCCCCCTTCGTGCCCCCATGTTTGAAAAAATGCTGCAAATGTGCTCTCATGGGTGCCCCTGCGGTAGATAAAACATGATAAAGTGCCCTCTAAGGTGCCCTTCCTGTGGACAAAATGTGGTTAAGGGACCCTGAATAAGCTGTTTCAGCATTGACAGCTTTCTATGTACTGGTGCCCTTTTTATGTTTTTAGCTCCTGCTCCTCAAACAGCCTGAGACTGCCACTGGAAGAAGGTGATGGATCATAGGTGAAAGTTGAGATTCATTTTACAGTAGTAGAAGTACCAAGACAGACCCTCCAACATATTATTCCAGACTTTATTAGAGATGAAAGGCAAACAATCCCTCTCTGGCTCACACAGTAAATGGTAGTAAATTGGACACTTCTATTCTATTTTGCTCATGTTTTGCTCTCTAACTAAAGGGATGGATTTAACACTGTCACTGGATTTCAGTAACTTTAATTAACAGTTCTGATAAACAAATGTTAATTTTCTGTTATCTGTGTATGATGTGTATAATTTCATACCATTTTACAGGGACACCTTCTTTAATTTAAGCCAAATGAAAGACTATCCATCTATGCTTTGTTGTTTTTTTCACAATGTACATTGGCAAGATTTTTTTCATTGGCATAATTAGCATCCACCACAAATGTACCTGAGCCCTTAATTTGAATCCACACAGATTAACAGCGAAGTTGTTGCATAATATCCACTCAGCTAATAGAATAAAGGGAAATAAATATGAGATCCTCACGGTGTAGGATAATTACAGCCAGTCCTCAGGCATAGTTGAGTTGAATCTCTTCCTGTGTGCTATTTATAGACATTTGTGTTGTAACTTCAAAATCTCCTACGTTCCTTCAATTCACAAGAAATGTCCCTGGAGCCCTTTGAAGTTACATGAAAAAAACAGAAGAAATATTCAAGGAGGTAATGTGGGTAATTAAATCCAACCCAGAAAACTGTTGTCGTCACTCAAATTCTTGTTTCAGGGGAAGGCAAAAACTAAAAAGAATTTATATTCAACTCATCTCTGTGTTTGTTTGCTTTGAAATAGGCAATTATTTATTATTTACATTTGCCTGCAATGGCATACAAGCTGTGTTTGAGACTTACAGCAACAGGATTTGAAGAGTAAATCGTAGCCCTCATCCTGTGGCATGTGTTATATTAAAACAGCATGATGCATGAAGAAAGACTTATGACTAATAACTTAAGAGAGGCCATCATTTTTCAATCTCCCTCAACACACCAACCCATAAATACATCACCTTCTCACTGTGATTGATTGACTGATGTGTTTTTCTCCTTTTTCATTATCAGAGCATCCGTACATCTGGTCTCATTCTGCTGGAAACCATCTTGTTTGGGGCTTTACTGCTCTACTTCCCAGTAAGTCTGCGTTCTGATCTTTAATGGCACCCACAATTTGCTATGGCACCACACACTCCTTGAGCAGCTACTTTGTCAGAATTACAACAGATGCCATGACAACCGCAATCTGATGTAATAGGTTTCATTGGAGCTGATTACAAAGATGTTGATTACCTTGCTGAAGAGTTGGAGGTGTGCAGCTCTTCATCATATTCAACAGCTCACTTCGGCTGCTCATAACTGATCTACTGTAAAAAAAAAAAATTTAAAAAGCCTTAAAAAGACGTCTATTTTGAATACATATTCTTTAAGGAATGATGCCTGTTAAACACAGTGACGAATACATTACATTTCCTGTGGCAGCTTCACAATTAAAGCCACCCCATGTTTCACCAGTTTAGTGTTTAAAGCTGTGTCAGGTAACATTTTTTTTTCTTAAAAGTCACATTTGCTGAAACTGTCACTATATTCCAGACAGAAGTACACGAAAAGAAAGAAATCCTCCTCCTTCTAGTGTTCCTAACCGCATTAAAGAATACATCTTTGAGACATCTTCATGTTACGGGAGGGGCCAGGGCCTTGGTGAGGCTCACGTCTTGGAAAGGGAGGTTTGATTTAATGAAAATGTGAAGAACTCTTCTAACTTTAAAATGAAAGTGTAGATTTTGATTTAACACATTCTCCTGAGAAAATCTAAATCTTACCAAGGAAATGAAGCCATTACTTCTTGTTTAAAAGGGCTTGCTGTTCCTTGTGTTCATAATAGAATACATTACTATGTAAATAAAGCGGTAAACCCGCCTTCCTACTTCTTTAGTTGCAGCTACTTGAAGTTATTGTACTGTACTTCTGATCACTGTCTGGACAAAACCAGAGAGTTGGACATCACAGTGTGACTTATTGTGCGTGTGCCTTTCTCTTGTCTGTATGTGTGAGCAGGTCCATGTGGGTGGGTGCCAGCGTGCATTGTATATGTGTGTATTTACACTTGTGCACACAGCCCACAGTGCACCTGGAGAGCTGCGTCAGAAGCCCATCTTTAGCAGGGAAACAGATGGAAGAAACCTGAGTTCCATGTAACAGGGAGATCTGGTGTAACCGGGGAATTCACTCCCTTCAAATACTTGCACAGACTGCCAACAGTGAGCCACTGCTCTCCTCAAACACAAAGCCTGATGGCTGGATGTTAGCCATTTTTAAGAAGAAAAAAAAAAAACGCCTCAAAATCTGTTGAGAAATAAGAGCTTCAAAGCGCTCGGCTGAGTCTTGGGATAAAGGTTTTGTTCTTATTCTGAAGTTACTGGAGTGTTACTATAAGAAAGATATTTGCATTAGCATAGAAAGCCTGGTAGTTTTGTTGCAGCGCTGCAGGTGTTGTAGCTTTGCCCTTATGTGACCACATTTTGCATATATTTCTGCTGTGATGCTCAAAATGGATTTGATTTTGCATCCACCCTCTCCAACATTCACCCCAAGGATAACTCAAGTACCAATAATAGCTCCCCAAAAATATCCTGCCACTCTCTTATGTTCACGCACATTTGGATTCACTCAAGGGTCTCCCTCCCCCCTTTGCTCTGCTGTTTTTCCATCTTTTTTCCTGTATTTCTTAGCACCTTGCCTGCCCGTCTCTACCATTTCCCTGTCCTCCTTTTCCCTCATGTTTTCCTTTCATTACCCCTCTGCATGTTCTCTCTCCGTGTCACCTTTGTGTCTTCCTCTCCCACAGTCTAAACGTTTGTTGCCGCTGCTGTTTCTTTGTTGCTGCCACCACAAGCCTCCTCAGCTGAGCTTGGCGCAGCTGCTCTGCTCTGGTGCTCAATGCATTTTTAAACAGTCCATCAAGTTCTAGCACAACTTGTTTTAAAAATACATCTGCTGATTAATTGATGGAGGAGGCATGGGAGGTTGGATGCAAACCAAGAGGGCCACCTTCTCTTCTGGGCGATATAAAAATGTGGCTTTTTATTGTGCAGTCTCCTGAGATTTTGTAGTCCACATGGGTAGCACTGCAGAAAGGGTGTGTCACTGTTTGTGTCTGCCTATCTGTGTGTATGTATGTGTTTGAGTGTGTATAGGCATGATGGAGGATGGATTATGAGTGTAAGTGTCTTTAATGCTTCATATTTTCCCGTGATTGTGTGCATGTGCATTTGTGCATAGATTTGCATTTATGTGTGTGGGTGTAAGAAACAGTGTGGCCTAGTTTTACCTCTTATTTGTGGAGGTGATTTATTGTTTTGGTCCAAAGAGCTGGAAGGCTGGATGTTTGCTCAGTAGGCAAAGAGATGAAGGTACCAGGTGGGATGCCAATCCTAAACACAGGTTAGCATGAAAGTGAGACATGGAGAGACATGGAGAGACATGGAGAGACATGGAGAGGCAGGAGGGCAAGAGGAAGAGAAGACATTGAAAGAGACAGAGCATGCAAGAGAAAGTGCCTGGTGAATTGTTGCACTCTCAAGCGTTGGCAACATTTTGTCTTTCTATCAGTTGGTCTCTCTCTCTGTTCTTTTTTTCTCTGTGTATTTGTCTGCTCCATTATTTGATTTACCAGTTGCAGTTGCCTGGTTCAAGCACTATGTTGCTTCACAGGAGCAGAGAGGAAGAACATCACAAAAGTGTAAATCAGACTTAATGTTCAATGATCAAATCAGTTGTCATTTGTATTGCTAAGATTGCTTTAAAGACAACGCTTAATCAATTTTGATTTATTAGTGGATCAAATGACTACATGTAATGTATAGAGGCCACAGACCGACAGACGCACTCGCAGAGAAAAACAAAGTTAGCGACTCGCCGGTGAACACATTAGAGCATTTAGCATTTAAAGAGCCAGATTCCTGTTTCCCTCAGGTGAAGACCAAAACAGAGCTAAAAGGAGTTATAAGGACCTATATTCATCAGGTGGCCAGAAACAAAAAGACTACATTTGCTTCATGTCTGCTTGATGTGTAAATAAGCTAAACTAAGCTAAGCTAAGGTAGATAATTAGTTGATGTTGTGTATACAATTTCTGCTACTCCCAAAGGGCCACAAAATCAATGAATGTGGGTTTAAAAGAATAGCACAACATTTTAGGAAATATACTTATTCAGAGTGAGATGAGAAGATTGATGCCAATCTCATGTCTGTGCCTTTGGTACGGAGCTGGAGCCACAATCTGGTTAGCCTAGCTTAGCATAAATACTGGAAACATGGGAAAACATTTATCCTGCCACCCAATACCTCTATAATTGACTAACACTTTGTATCTTGTGTATTTAATCTGTACAATCAATGACATGTAAACACGCTAATTTGTGGTTTTAGGGGGAGTTACGCACTGGAACTTTTTCTTCTATCAATCAGCTGAGTAGCTCTGGCCAAAGTGCTGGTTGCCAGATACAGTTGGTATTGTTGGCATGACAGTACTGAACATGGCAACCTCACAAGCCACTCCAGAACCAGCACACAGTCACTGAGCCCAGTTGATGTTAGACAAGAAATGTAGCCTTACTCCCCATAAAACCACAAAAGTGTTGTTTTTCTATTATACGAACAAATTAAACAATCTACATACATATTGAGCCAGTTCACTGTTTCCTGCTGATTATGAATCTTTGTGCTGAGCTAATTCTTTCCCGAATCATACTTAATGCACAGAAATTAAACTCATAGCAATCTTCTCATCTAACTCTGTGAAAGAGACATATTTCCCAAAATATTTATCTGTTCCTTCAACAAAACAAAAGTAATTTCTCAGTAAAGCACGTGACTGGTATTGAAGTCATAAGTCATTGTAAGGCCGTCTTCCAGAAAATCACTGTAATTTCTTTGTCAGAAATATGGAGGGATTCATTTTTGGTAGCAATTTCTTTTCAAAGTGGATTTATAAATGAAACCCTTTCTTTTAATACATACCTGTCTGTCTTCCATGTGCCAACTATTTTATCAGATCCAGAGCTGCAACAGTGACTCACAGTCAGTAGGGTAACATTAAAAAGGAACAGCTGTAATTCCAGTGCTTGGGGATAAAATGGACTTGGCTCCCCGCTCTTTTATGACGAGCATACCAATGACAGACTTTGGCACTGCGAGGTTTTGATGAGGATTGGGGATGGAAGGAAACTGTTGCTGCTGCGCTCCGTGCTTTGACTGTGTGTCAAATTCTTAATCAGGAGGTGAGAGAAATGTCTGTATATACCAAAGCTGAGCTAAGAGTAAACAGACTGAAGGCCGAAAATAGGGATTTTGTGACAGTTTAATTGCACACTGTGACACATTTTGGTACAATGGGTGAAACTGATCTTGCCAGTTTTAAGACCGAATTAGATTATACAACAAACATGGCAAACTTGTGGTGATAAAAAGATGTAAATTAGTTCACTGCTCAAGTTGCTGCGATATTACTTCAGCACATGTTCTATAAAATAAATAGCTGTAGTGAGCTTTATATGTGTCATTTCATCATTCTGTCTTTGTTCCATACCCTTGACTCGGCTGGAGGTAACACAGACTGTACACTATTATTCACATTCCCAGTTAGACATTAGTTTCCCTTCTCTTTCAACACATCTCACAGCCAGAGTGTTACAGCATCAGGGTTGGCTGGTTGTTTAGTTAGTTTGCCACAGATGTTCTGCTTCTTTTCAGAGGAAAAGAGGTTACAGGTGCTGTTGTTACTTAAGCTTAATTACTCTGGATAGCTGCTGTCTCTCGAATGCCAAGGCATCGCTGGAGCTGGGATAAATCACTGGCTGTACTCCTCAGGGATGCATTTATACTGCATCTGTAATCCATCCCTTCATTAACTATACCCATATATCCTGACCCAGCTTCACCCTGGACAGGTTGCCAGTCCGTCACAGGGCTAATACATTTAGACCAACTTCATAGTTGGATTATCTATAGAAATAACAAAAATGTAGGTGAGGTTATAATATGTTTTGCAATATGCCCTATTGTCTCTTGGACAGCTAGGTAAATGGTACAACATTACGTATGATGCAACAGTAAATTTGTCTCTTGGTGAAGATGACCATACTTATTATAATATAACATATATATATACTGTTTCAACTGGAAGATTGGTTTAAGGATTATTTTGATTCAGTATAACAAGAGCTGAATAACCTTGTATCTTCTCAGGTCTCAAAATATTTTCCATGTCACTTTTTCAGTTGTTTGTATTGCTGTTATGTGAGGCAAGTTTTTTTCTGGTACCCCATCTTCTGTTTAATATAATATGAAATTGAGATCCATAATGTAAGCATGATGTAAACTTGTCTTTAGTGCAAGGTCTACCAGTGACACACATACATGACTGTGCTGTTCACTCGCTGGTCTGAGTAGTCAGTTGATCATTTTTGGGGGTCAGCTGTAATAAAGATGCTCAACAATGAATTATTATATTCATCATTCATCAGGCAACAATTGTCTGTAATCATCAAGGTTAAACTTGAGTTCCTGTGTAGTGCTTTGTGCCAATCAATACAGAGTACACTGAAACAGCAAGACTAGGCTGACTCAGGAAGGAGTGCATGTATCCAGCATGTGAGTGAAGCAGGTTTTCTTTGTGTTCGTGGAAATTAGCACAGACTGCACTGGATCTTCAGAGCAGAATGTGGAACTTGGCTTCACTTTGGTCACTGGAGATTTCATATGTGGCGCCCCGCTGAGATACACTCTAATGAAATGAAACGCAGCTGTAACAGAAATTCAAATGCGAGTCTCTGTCGCAGCCTCATCTTTAACAGTTACAGGTGCGAATACACCTCTAACCAAGCAGAAAATGACAGGCTGACATTTTATGAGCCACTGGCAAGATCTCTGTTTTATTGCAAATCACACAGACAAAACATGTGAACATGTCCACGAACTGACACAGAAATAAATCAATAAAAAATCAGCATGCGAATAATCATACAGATTCAGTTACTCGCACATGAGAAATTCAATAGTTAAATATAATCAGTGAGATAGGATCTAACACTCTCATAGCGAATGCGTTCTGGCAGTCGTCATATGAGCAACATACAGTAAAGAGATGTCAGCAAGAGCTCTGGAGGCGTAAGATATCTGCAAGGCTAAATCTGCCTCCAGCCCTGGTTATCACGCGCTGGAAACTCACCTCAGTTTCTTTTCTGACTCCCTCTGTGTGAGAATTCACTGACAGGAGTGGAGGTGTGTGATTTAATGCTTGTAAACAAAATATAATATAATCAGTACGTGTGTGTCTGTGTGAACACTAACACTCTTATACCACTCTACAGGTGATGATCCTTTACTTCCATCCCAGTGTGTTTCGCTGTATCCTCCTGCGGTGGGTTCGCCTCCTGGGTTTCGCCGTCATGTACGGCACCGTCATCCTCAAACTGTACAGGTACTGTAGACTAAAACTAAAAGAGTGGCAATCATCATATGAGTGAGAGATGACATTTCCTGTATGTTTTATCCCCTTCTTATGAATTATTCCTATCTCCAATATAGAGTACTAAAGGGAAGGTTGAACTAAAAATAGAAAAGCACATATAATTTAATGATCTGTTCTGACCACATTTTAGACTCTTCATAACAATGATCTCTGTGAGACTAGTTTATATGTGTCAGACCACAAAGCCATTATTTTTAAGTCTAAACTTCTACCTCCTGGCCCTACAGTGGTTACTTAAGTCTCCTCCCAGGTACTCACTACAGACTCTGCTGACAGTTTTCAAAATACCTTTACCACGGCATCTGTACCATATGTCAACAGAGGAATTACTAACTGACTTAATACATGTAAAGCTGACTCCATAGCACTGGTAGAAATCCAAATAAGGTCTAATCAAACCACAGCATGCCTTTGATAGACAATAATATCAGAGAGATAAAGAGGAAATGCAGGCAAGCAGAGCAGAAGTGGAAACATTTATTTTCACATAAAATCATGAAAGAACTTATGTCAACCAAATTTCAATCAAAATGCAGCAGAGACGCCAGATCTTTCTATTTTTCTAACATTATTACAACAAACTCTTTAAAACCATCAAAGCTGTAATTAACCCCCATTCTAATCAAGTCATTCAAGTCACCCCAACAATCTGTGAGCAATATTTTTCCTTCTTCATCACTAAAATAAACAAAATAAAACTCCAGATTGGTCCTGCCACTGATGACTCTCTTTCCACACTGCAATCCCTCTGCCTCTGCCTTCCTCAATAGCTATCACACAGTGCACTTTAAAGGACACAATGGCCAAATTAAAGCCTACATCGAGTCCTTTAGATGTGATGCCTGCTAGCACACCATAGTATACCCACTTCTTATGAATCAAGTTTTGATCCTATGAATTCTAATAATTTTAGGGCCAGGTTTCAATCAGGTTTCTAAGCTTGTCATAGCACCAAATCTGCTCTTATCAAAGTCACAAATTAGCTTTTAATTACAGCTGATGCTGCTGAGATGCTCAGTTTAATTATCTGTGATTTAAGTGCAGCTTTTGACACTGTGTGTGTGCGTGTGTGTGTGTGTGTGTGTGTGTGTGTGTGTGTGTGTGACTATCCTTTTAGATTGACTGTGTCGGCATCAGGGGCACTGCCCTAAAATGGTTTTTATCATATCTAGCAGGACTTTCTCAGTGCTCATGGGTGATGCCTCCTCCTCTGTGGCCACTCTGACATGTGGTGTTCCCCAAGGGTCCATCCTAGTCCCTTTATTGTTCTTGTTTGTTCTTGTTGTTTATACATGCTGCCATTGGGGCCCATCATAAAAAAGTACAATATTCAGTATCACTGTTATGCAGATGACACACAAATTTACATCCCATTAAAAACCAGTGAAGAACAACATTTTAATTATCCTTTATCCTGTCTATCAGAAATAAAGTGCTGGATGTCCCTAAACGTTCTCCAACTTAATGAAAATAAATCTGGGATAATCCTCTTTCATCCCTCAAGGTGCATCCCTGTTCTACAGGAAAATCTTGGATCCTTGTCATAACCTGAGTGTAATGTTTGACAGTGACAGTGTCGAGAAGCAAATTGCAAATGCTGTTCAAACACGTTTTTATCAACTCAGGAGTATCTCAAAGATCAGGTCCTTTCTCCCTCGACCTGATCTTGAAAAAATGATCCGTGCCTTTATGTCTTTATGATTAGACTACTGCATTTCTTTGTACTCAGAGTTAAGCCATAAAGCCATCTCACGCCTCCAGCTGGTACAGAATGCAGCTGCTCGGCTTTTAACTAACACAAGAAGACAGGATCATATCATCCTTGTTTAAGCCTCTCTTCACTGGTTACCTGTCAGTTTTAGTATTGATTTTAAGATTTTGCTGATCCCCTATAAAGCACTTCACGGTTTGGCTCCCACCTACATTGTTGAATTGCTGCACCGCTATGAGCCAGGGCACAGCCTCAGATCCTTGGGCAGGATTCTGCTGGCTGTTCTGATTCCAGGCTCAGGACCAAAGGCAATCGTGCTTTAGAGCTTTTTGAGCTCCAGAGCCCCTGGAGGGGTGAGTCTTAGACCCTCGGGGGCTGAATCGATGACATCTTTCAAGTCACTTCTTAAAACATATCTTTGTAAAAAAGCCTTTTATTTATTCTAGCACATGTGATTTTCCATCATGTTTTATCTATTTTATTGGTATTGATAGTCTTACCATATATTAGGTATAGGTATTTTATGCTTTGAATTTTGTGTCTTTTGATTGTTTGAATTGTTTAAAACTATCTGCCCCAGTGCGGTTAGTTTTGCAATATGTTTTATCTGCTTTACTGTTGGTTAATTCTACCTCATTTGGGTGTGATTTTGTTTCTCTGACTTTATTTTGCCTTATTGCTTCACGGAATGTTTTTAACCCTTGTTTGACCATATAAGACACTTTGTAACTATGTTTTTGAAAGTGCTGTATGAATAAAGTTTATTATTATTATTAAGTGATAGGCTTTAGTTCAATAAAAATGATCTATTTGGACAATTCTAATGCCACCTTTAGATATTTCTATTCTAATGCTTAACTAATGTTTTTGAGTTCAAATATCTTCTTACTATCTATCTGGGGGCTTTTCCAAGTACATATCGATTTTTTGTGTTTGAATCAGAATATGTTTCTGGCAGCCCTTAAAGACTCAATGCCACCCTTTGGCCACCCCATGAATATTTCTCTAGATCTGCACTTTCTCCTTTCTTCTTCTCTTCTTGTCTTCTCTGTAGAGTCCTCTCTTCCCATCTCCTTGTGTCCTGTCCTTTCCTCTCTTTGTCTCCTTGTGTTCTTGTCTTTTCTCCTGTCTTCCTACAGTATCTCCTCTCCTTGACTGTTTACTTCCATTCCCTTCCCTTCCTATATCCTCTCCTTTCTTTGTGCCCTCTCCTCTCCTTGTCTCCACTCCTCCTGTCTCCATTCCTCTCCTGTCATCTTCTCACCTCTCTTCTTTCTCCTCTCCATCTCCCCTCTCCTCTCCAGATATTAACTTGCCCTATGAGTTAGCCTTTCTCAGTTTCAATAATCCAACTCCCTCTGAGTACACAGGCCCACACACACACACACACACACACACACACACACACACACACACACACACACACACACACACACACACACACACACATGCAGTCTTGCCAATAAGCACATTTGAATTTCACATCAGGCCCGGCCTATCTGTGTCTGCCTGCTGAAGTATCTATTGAGACACACACACACACTCACTTCCTGCTCTTCAGCTCTGAGCAACTGTTGCCGAGATGGGAGAAGGGGGTCAAAGGCCGGCCAGAGTGTTCCCTTGGCAAAATTACCAATTAGATTTTTTTCCGAGCTCGCTGGGTGTGAAGTGTGCCCCGGGGCCAAGCTCTTACAGCCCAGTCCCACTGAATATATCAGAGATAAGATAGATTTGTCACAGTCTGGTCAGGAGGGAGCAGATGAGCATAGTGCAGAGATGATAGTAAACAGAGAATTGACTGTTTGCATGTCTGGAATTTGATATTTATATAATGACATGCTATCTTTGTCTCCATATACTGTAGCTTACCCAGTATCAGATCACTTTCAAAGTATTCTGGTTGATCTGTTGCATTTTTAATTCCTTTTACAGAGGCAGTAATGTCTTGTTTGCGCGCAGTGAAAATAGGTACTGTGCAGCTTATAAATAAACTGCCTCCGCATGCATTCAGTCTGATGTGTTAGTTCAGCTGCCTCCAAGCTGAAAAATAAAAAACTGGCACCCATAAGAAAAGCTCATAAATTTCCCTTTGGACTGTAAAAACCCCAAAAATCTGTACCCTTATATTATATATATTTCTCTCTTCAGCTCAAGAGATATTACAACATGAATTAAACCAATCATGTTTAAGGAACATGAATGAATTGAAATATCAGTGCCTTTTTCTCCTTCTTTCCTCCTTTTAAATCAAGTGGACATGTTAATGCCGGGCGTGAGTTGTCAGTGGCAGGGAGAGAATCTCTTATTCATCTACACTGCTTGTCATGATTTCACCCAGCAGACTCTAGTATTATCCTCTTCCTCCTCTCTGCTCGCTTTCCCAGGGTGTTAAAGGTGTTCCTGTCCCGCACAGCCCAGAGGACACCTTACATGACCAGCTGGCGGGTCTTGAGGCTGCTGGCAGTGATTGTGCTGGTGGTGCTGTGGTTCCTGGTGGCCTGGACCTCCGCTGTGTGCCAGAACCCTGAGCTGAGTCGGGCCCTGATTGCCGCAGGCCTCACCCCAGAGGGGCTGCAGTTCAGCATGTGTCTGCTGGACCGATGGGACTACATGATGGCTGTCGGTAAGTGTGTGTGTTTCTTGTATTTCTGTACTTACATGTACCCGATGTGTAGTGATGTCTTTACAGGACAAGTGAGGAAAATTTTGTCCTACTTAACTGTAAGGAGCTTTTTGGCTTATAGCTTGGGTCCGGGCTGCTTGGTTGAAGCTAAAGATTAAGTTTAGTATGGAAACTTTACTTTTGGAAATAGCTGCAGGCAGGGTCATGTAGAAAAACCTCTATTGACTGTAAATGCTGGAAATCTATTCATTTTCCATTCCCTTTCTTAACTTTTGTTTGACTCAGCATTAAATATTCTATAAATACACATTCCTAAAAACTGCTACAAATGCTGCTATCTTGTGTTCTGGGGGTTAGAGTCTCCTAAAAGAGTATCTTAAAGGTACCTGAGGAGTTTTTGACTACCAGTAGTAGTTTTTTCCACATACATACACAATCCTGACAATGGTTTCATACTAAGACTATTACACTCGGATGGTGGACAACAAACGTAGTAGTAAGGAAGAGGACTGCTAACAATATAATATGTTTTCAGAATCGCCCCTGCAAATGTTTTATGTTTTATGAGGAAGGAAATGCAGTCAACATATTTCTTAGATCTAAACAATTCACACAATGTATTTGTGATTGTAAACACAACTTTAATGTTTTTTACTGGAAAACCCCACAGGGCACTTCTGACACTAAGTTAAAAATAAGTGTTTCATTGCCCTCTCTGGTTGAAGGTTTTAGTTTCTGTTTAAAAGTATGGTCAGAAGTGTGCCTTGTTGAACCTGTAACCACACCCAACGATGATCCCACAGTGTACTTACACACCCTGAAGTACACTTCAGGTCAGCGAAGATGCTCAAAGACTTGTTTTGGTGTGCCACATATTGCCAGGAGTTTTTTAAATACATTTTGAACTGTTTTCTTAAAGCAGACTACATGAAATTACATAGAAATATAGAAAGGAACTATTGGCTGATATATTTGAGAATATGTATTTTGCAGTCTTTTTACTGGGACTAGGGGCATCTCTAAAAACGAGTTTGTAATGAATAACGGCAGCATCCTGGCTCAACTGTGAGTGTTTTAAAGTCCTGAGGCTCCAATGCCAGTCTGGTTAAAGAGTAAACAGCCTTCTAAGATTCAGAAACTGAAACGGACACAGCAAGGCAAAAAGACACCCTCCGACCTCACAGAATTGAGTTTTCCGTAGAGTAGTTGCACCTGACTCATCTAATGTGGACAGTGCAGTCCTCTTTACAGAAGCTGTACTGTACTGACAGCAAATGGATTGTACACAAATAGAGGTCTGAAGTCATTAAACTGCATCTTAAAATTTCCAGTGAGTCCCAAGCCTAATGCATCCATTGTTCAATCATGTCAGACAGAAATAAACAGGTATGGGCTCAGGAATCTCTGCCTTTTGTAAATGTGATAAACTCCCCTTTGACAGGTTTCTTGCTGGAGATGAATAGAGCTACCTCTTTAAGCAAGGCATAAAATGCTCCAAAACATGCCGCATGCTTGCCAGAAGACATTATTGTGCTGTAATAGGTCTGTTTATTAAGTGCCCTGCCTGCGAGACAGCATTTTCAAAAACCTTTGCTCTTAAATGGATGCAGTTATGAATTTTGATGATCTTCACCTTTCCCTAATGGGTTTGCTCACCAACAGTTTAATGAATGATGCTGTGTATTAAGTTAACAATGGGCTGCTCTGATAAACAAGATGGAGTAACCCTATCTTACAGTATCTTGGTCTGCCACCAGCATTAAAGCTGAACACCTCCAGAGGGCAGGAGGTGCCACCAAGAACCTCATTTATTTTTTACAGCCCTTTACCGCAAGCATGTCTCCAAGGGCTTCCAGAGGATAAGCCTGTCTAGTTTTAACTAGACAATAATCTATCACAGAAGAAAATTCTATAATGTATTATGGAACATGATAAAACATATGAATGTTAATCTAGGCACAGTAGCAGATCACTACAATCTATAGACTTTATTATCTCAGCTGAAGGGGAAATGATTTGCTTTACTGTTTTTGACTGTGTATCTGTTATATTGTTGCTACTGCAACTTCACCTTGATTGTCTTTACTCTGTTCTGCTCTCTTGTATATTTCATCCTAGCCTGTGCTATGTTATGCTCACACCTCCTTGAGTTTCCCTTTCTTTTGATTCACATCCATAAATCATAAATTATATGAACCAAATGAGCCAGACCTAAGAAGGAGTTTTAAGAAGGAGTCCTTGTAGCAGCCCTTTAGAAGCTGTACAAGAAGTATTTGGAAGGGTGGCTGCTGCACCTTACTTTTGGTTATTAGTATTTGCTTTGGACCTTCCACTTGACTTTAAAACTCTCCCCCCTAATAATTTCAACTCTACCCCCAATTTCAATTCATTAATGGAACAACAGTTTTTATATGGCCCAAATTGCACGAATAGAATTGACAGAATTATGATAAACATAACAAATAGTGCGATGTGTTTACTGAGCATTTCAGCCGTATTATCATTGTCACTAAATAAGTAAACATGGGCACAGGCAATAATGTTACATTTTTACTAACTAAAAAGATCTTCATCATGTTGTACGTTGTTTTTTTGTTTTGTTTTTTTTTTTACATCATAGTTCTACCAGCCAGTGATTGTTGTCCTCTGCATTTGGTGCATGGCACATATTTTTGGACAGTAACTATTTTGCTGTAACTATTCAGTCTTTCTATTTTTTACAGTAAATCTTGCAAGAATTAAATAAAATATAAATATAGGCCAAGAAAAAATTAAAGACCCCTCTGCTCTCCCAAAAAAGTCAAACATGCAGCAGAAAATAACCATCCCCCTTTTGAGTAATAATTTTTGTGCAGTCCCTGAAATGACCAGAATTTATAACATTGTCAATCTAAAAAGCACAAAGAGTGATAGTATTGGTGAGAAGTTACTATCCCTCAAATATCCCACGAGTACCCAGATGGCTTTGTGTGTGCATTACAGTAGCTTCCTAATGACCGATTCTTGAAGCAGGAGGCAGTGATGGGCACCTCACTGAAGCCAGTCTGACAGCAGGGGAGACTAATCCTGTTTGGAAAGAGGGAAAGGATGGATCCCTGAGAGATGCAAGGTCTGCCCATGATAGACAGACAGAGAGAGAGGGAGACAGAAGTGTCAGGGAAAAAGAAGAGTGAAGCCTGTGAAGTATGAAGCTTGTAGGGATGTGGGCAATGATGCAGAGAGAGTTTTCCAGCAGCTGGGGAGGGGGAGAACTTGAGAAGAAGAGAAGAAGAGGGGGCAGCTGGTAAAGGGGGAGGTAGGAGGTAGGACAGAGGAATGCAGCATCTTCAGAGGAACAAACCCAGGACTTTAAAAAACACGTACACCACAACAATACCTCAGTTTGTGTTTATGACTCCTTGTGTCAGTGTGTACTTGTGTGCGTGTTCAAGACAAGACAGGAAATGAGGGATCCCCGCTGTTTGCTCTGACAGCCAGCGAGAACACACTGGTGTACTGAGGCTACAGTGAAGGACAGGAAGCACCCTGCAGAGCTGCTTTGGAGGATTCTAACAATGCAAGCCACGGCGCATGTCATGCTTGTGAAAATTCAGCTAATTGCTTTTCTGTTTTCACTTGTTTTGTCATAATGCTGACAAGGCAACACATGTCTGTCTAAATGAATAAATCATCCTATTTTGTCTTGAAACGCAGAGCAAAATGACGCTGATGCAAAACCGTATTGATAATGTCAACAATAAGCAATTCATTTGAATCTGCAATTAATCTGCATTAGTTGGAATTGTTCTCTCTTGCAAGCAGCTCTCCATGCATCCCGATTCAGAGGCTAAGTACCATGTAATTAGTGATGATTTATAGACTAGGCTTATTCATGAATATTAATGGTCTGTAATCACTGTAAAGACTTTATGTACTCATATGCCAACACAGTCTTTGGCACAGTTCTTGGTGCTCTGTGCTGTCTGCAAACAAAACAACAAGCTTGTAAAGCTTGTATCAGAGGAAAACATCTGACTTGGTGATCTGACTGGGATTTTTCACCTAGCAGTAAAATAAACACCATCTTTTTGTTCTACACCAGAGAGCAGCTAATACAAGCTTAATTAGATTGCTTCAAGACATAATTTCATACCTCCAAAATGCAGCAACCATAAAGGAATCCTCTTCATCACTTTCTGAATAATTAATATTGATTATAGCAACTGATGTTCTTTAAAATGTAATTACATTGACAATTTGGGCGATAATGATTGGTGCACATATACTGTGCAGTATATTCTGAAATGTATTGATAACCGGGAAGACAGCAAATTTTTTTAATACATCTGTGAATTGCTGCTGGGCTGTGTGTCCTTGGTGAGATTAGATGATAAGAATATGTCAACACACTGTCGAGGAAGCAGCTGCCTCACTTGGGAAGAGCGCAGCAAACACAGGGAATTCTTCTTAGGAACTGCTAAATTTGAAACTATATTATTGCCATCAACACTTCACATGCAAATGAAACAGAGACTAAATCAATGCCCAAAGAAACCCTTTTTGTATTGTGAGGAATACATTTTCCCATAGTTGCTATAGCTACTAAAACCTGTGCTCATCGACCATTTTCTGCTAGTTGGGCCGATGGATTAACCATCCTAAAACCACAAATATTCATATATACATTTCTGTTTGTGTGTGGATTAAACAGAGGAGATACAACGTTTTAATTAGTGGCCTTGCAGAGTGGAGCTGCATATCTTTAAACTTTGGAGAGAGTCATTTTTCCCCCTGCTTCCCGTCATTATGCTATGCTAAGCTAATTGCCTCACAGCTGCAGCTTCGTATTTAACTCAGAGACAAGAGAGTGGCATCAATCTCAGTCTCGAAAAGAATCAAATTAGTGTATTTCCAAAAGTTTCTGGATTGTATAAGCTTGGAGTGTACAAAGCCTTACTTAAAGACACTAAACCTAATTAAGAAAGTAATGAAATTAAACTGATTAAGACTATAAACCAGGTGGAGTCCACTAATCCTCCTTGTGACATTTTTGTTGTTTCTTTTATTTCCCAGCGGAGTTCCTGTTCCTGCTGTGGGGTGTGTACCTCTGCTACGCTGTCCGCACTGTGCCCTCGGCTTTCCACGAGCCACGTTACATGGCTGTGGCCATCTACAACGAGCTCCTCATATCAGCCATCTTCCACATCATCAGGTGGGTAAGGACAATGGGGTGGAACAGGCACTAGTGGGTGTGAACAGTAAGTGAGAGAAAGAGATGTGTGCACTGCAGTGAATGGTCTTTTTGTCTGCTGACAGAGAGAAAAGGTGAAAGGGGAGATATAGCAAAGGGGATATAAAAGAGAAATGAAACAGGACAGTAGAACAATGAAGTATCTTACTTTTCGTGATGAACTGAATGAGTTTGAACAATGGCAGAGGGCTCAGACAACTCTACCCCTTCTCACAGCAGAAGTTGTTGTTTAATCATAATCATAGAGATATTTGCCTGTTAGAGCGTGCATAACAAGTGCTGAACATGTCAGATGAAAGGCAGAGTTCACCCGCCCCCTTCATCAGGGAAATGAACAGTGTCAGCAGAGCGCCTGGGTAAGCCAGTTGAAAAGAGGTGAATAAAAAATGTCTTCCCCAGGCAGAGACACAGCATAGATCTACTGTGCCAGAGCCCAAAATAAACTCTCTGTACCCTGTAACTGTCTGTCTTTTTCTCACCCTTATGTAATATACTCATTTAAATAACTTTTTGAATATTTTATTGTCTTTTTACCTGAGTGACCACCATATGATGACAAACACCTTGAATAAGCTTAATGTCACCCACACCTTTGCGTGATAATAGCTAATTTAATTATTTCTTATTGCCTTTGTAACACTGTCTTTAAAGCTACACTAATCAAAAATGTATATTATCCAATATTAACAATGGATCAAATAAAGACAATTATTTGGTTTTCCTACGTTCAGGCAACCTCTTCATGTTTGTGTCGTGTGAAAATCAGCTTGCCTGATTGAGGTGCATAATGCATCTTTTCATCGATCTTGCAATACATGTACATCTTTCCATTTTGTTTGTAACACAGTTAGGTATGGGGTCTGTTTGGAAAAGAAAAACTTGCGTGTGGGAGGTTTGGAAATGCCCCACTCATAAATTATATTGTAAATGATTGAATCATCTTTTTGAATTGCAAAATCAGACTTGACTCACTTACAAATCTGCGTTCTTGTGTGTCTCTTAGGAGTTTATTTACAGAGAAGCTGGTTTTTATGTGCCTATATCTGAATATGGGTTTTGACTATCTGAGTGGAAAACACAGAGCTTTTTAAGGAACGGTGGAAGTAGAGAGACCCAATTTTTTACAAGACTCCTAAAGCAAAGACTACTTTGTCAGTCCTATTGCAGTGGGAATAAAACTGGTCAGGTGGTTTTTATATTGTGCCTGTAGGAGCCTGGGGCAAAAAATTCCATTTGTCACACTTTCTCAGATAAAACTGTTGGTGATTGAATATTCTTTCATTTAGGCAACGGCCCATTGTGCTCAGCTGGACAAAAAGGAAAAGATCACATCCTTTTAATCTGTTGAGAAATTGAAAAGTCCAATGGATACACCTTCATCAGTGCAGTGAAACAGTTATAAATCAAGCTGTTCTCGCTTGCTGCGGAATAAAACATTAGAGTGTTTTTTTGGTGAGCCGACAGAGTCAGTCTGCTGCTGCGGCCCAGAGATAAGGCTGGACTTGCGCAGGGTGTGATGTGTGGTGTGTGTGTGTGTGTGTGTGTGGTGGGGTAGGGTTGATTGAAACACACACACACACACCACACCACACACACACACACACACACACACACACACACACACACACACTAGGCTTTTAGATATCTAATGTGAAGTATGAATTTGAATTGGGAGTGATGACAAAGGACCAACAACCTCAGAGCCACCTTGGTGGGCCTCTGACAAATGACGAGGAAACAACTCTGTCTCACGCTTTCTTTCACACACACACACACACACACACACACACACACACACACACACACACACACACACACACACACACACACACACACTGAAACATTTGGTGCTTGCACAGAGGAATCTTTTCACAGACTGCACAAAACACACAATACTCAGCTTGATACAGTCTAATAATTGCATTGATTTATCTGTCATGGTGTCTGGCTTTGATTGGTTGTGGAAAATTTGAGCCAGAATGCAGCCACTTGTTAGAGCCCATTTAGGCTTTTGTGTACTTTTCACATTCTCCTGCAATAATTGGAGCGATTATCTGTGCTGAAGCTTGTGAATACAATACAAACTGGGATTTAAAACAGCTACAATATAGTGTGAATGATGACATGAAGTGTTTAAAGGAAGCCACAACCTAACAAAACTGCCGCTGTGAGCTCTGACATAAATTCTGCACATGGCTAGATTGAGTCAGTGGTAACAGAAATAGGACACACTATTCCTTTGTGCAAAATTACTTGATTTGGTGTTTTGCTGATGGTGGAAGAAAACAGTCTCTGCTCTATAAACTTTTTTATATGCAGCAATTTTTTAACTTTTAAAACAATGTGACAAGTTGCTATACAGTATATAAGATATAAGAGCAATGGATAGTTAAAATACAATAAAAATGATTAAAAAGTTGAAATAAGAAACTGATTATTTAAAGAATCTTAAAAATGTGTTTAGGATGGATTACTTTTTCCTCTGCCTGCTAGAGGATCTCAATTTAGCTACCAGGCTGATAACTAAGCAATAGCATGACCAAGCCAAGCTCTAAAATACCAGCAGGAAAAATCTATTTTAAAACCATCACTAAGCCAGTGAAGGGCAGCAATTATATACAAAATCACATCAGTCTACATTCTACTTAAAGTCTGTATTTGGGTGCAAGCAATTGTCTAGGCTGCTCTTTGTGGTGATGTACAGTCAAGGCTAGATATATTAGGTACCTATCCGTATCATACTTTCACTGAGCAGGGTCCAGATAGCAGACCAGGTACATGCATGCCATTACACAGACAAGATGCTTGTTGCCTAGTAGAAGACAAGAGCCAAATATGAGAAATCAAAGCTGGTCCCAAATGTTACTTTGGAGAATGAGATGCTCAAGCAAACGTTAATGAACTAAACTCTAAAGGGTTGCTCCAGATGATCAGTTTACAGACCATGTGAGGCTTTGGTTCAGGAAGAGTCTACAGCCCTGCAGCTGAGGCTGTATTTAGGCACAGTGGTGCTAACATGCAGAGATTTAGAAACATTTTAGTTTAGTATTTTAGCATGCATAATTAGCAACAAACAGTAAAATATCATCTGTAAAAATATATTAATAGCTAGCATGGTTAAAATCATATGTCTTATACTGTCAGGTGTTAATTTAGACAGCTACCTGTGGCTCTACTGTATCATGTGTTCAAAGTGTATCTTGCCTCAACACAAAATAACTGCACTACCCTCAATACCAAGTTTAGGTGAACGGATATTTCATAACCTTTACAGATTGCTTCTCAAAAGGAGGCAGTTGGTTCCAATATACTGCTACTTTTATAATTTCCTCCCAGTTTTCCTTTCATGCATCCATTCACAGCTTGAAGTGGAAATTGCCTCTGGGTTGTTGGTACATTTTGTTCTGTTCTCCTCGTCCAGAGAATCACTAAAGGCTGCTTTTAGTGTCTGTGTTTGTTTGTGTGCCTGAATATATTTCACAGACACACTCAAGTACTCAGTTCAAATGTCTTTCAAATAATAAATGTGATAAAGTGCTGCTGAATGAACAGAATCGCTCCCTTTTCTCTGCAGGTTCTCTCTGGTGCCGGGGCTGCACCCTGACTGGATGCTCATGTTGTTCTTTGCTCACACTCATCTGACTGTGACTGTGACTCTGGGCCTGCTGCTCATTCCAAAGGTATCACTTCTCTAGCTCATAAATCTGGTAGTAGTTGAGTAACATTCAGAGGTACTTGCTCTTTACTTAAGTATATACATTTATTTATATTTTATATATTTTTATACCTTTACATTTCAAAGAGGAATACTTGTATGTACTTTTTACTCTACGTTACTATACTACGTTTATTAGACAGATATAGTTTCTAGTTACTTTATAGAGTACATAAGATAAGATGATAAAATACACTTTTAAGATTAAACCAACCATTTGGCTTCTAATCCCTTATAAAACAACAGGGTCTGGTCCTTACCCAGGGGCCAGGAATTTTGGGCCTCATGACAAAAAAAATCAAATTGGGCCCCCTCTTCGCAGCTGTTGTCACCACATCTCTAGGACCTAACTGTCCCATCAACAGCTTTACATAACTCTAATTAAAAGCTTGCAACTGTCTTGCTTCTTGTAGTTCAATACTAGTACTAGCACAATATTTACTGCTGGTGACTTGTACATGCATGCAAGTCTGCATACAGTATGCAGTTCATTATTTGATGCAAGATTAAAAGCAACCATAAAAAATGTGCTAAAGGCCATCTTTTACAGTCTCATTGTATTTTTATTGTAAAATTTCAAAATGGAAAATTCTCTTAACGAAATTAATTATTATTATAGTGCTACAAAACAGATCAAGTGATCACTAAATCAAAAGGTTTTGAGGTTTGGAATATGGTCATGACAAACTAACAGTACCAGTGACATCAAATCAAAAGGTCTGAATAAGAACAAAGGACTCCTGGAAACCTAAACTTTTCTCTCAAATAACAACTCAACACGTTTTTGGCAGTCCAGCCTTGTTCTCAGTTTTTTGACGCTAACTGGCCTGTCATTGAACACAATGTTGCTCACCTTCTTCACTGGGACAGGGAGGGGTACAGTGATGGGGAGACTGGGGTGCTGCTGACTCATCTGTTGTTAAGTCTGCTAAAAGGGGCAGGGACAATGATTTAATATGAATATGTTGCTAAACGTTTCCCTGAACTGATTAAATGGTGATTAAATGTAGGCTAACACTAGTCTGTAGCTGGCTATCTTATTTCCCTATGGACATTAAGCCAACAGGTTAATACCACTCACAGACTATAGGCTACCCACATTTCTTGGTGAAACACTGGGTTACAGATTGACATCCTGTCCTTTGTCTTTCCTCTCTCTCTTTTCTCTCTTTCCTTTTTTGAAAACCGGATTTTGATTTACTAGTTAACATTGTGATCACTGTAGTTCTGGCACATCTACTGACTGCAACTAAACACTGTCACTGATAAGTGCGCTAAGGCAGTACCAAACCATTTCATGCAGATACAGGGGGGTGGTTGGTCAATATGGATGTTTACTTTTTGGTCAGTGGGGATATTTACTGCCAAATACAAGCGACAAAGAGATCATTAATTTGATTATTATATTTGAAATATATATACTGAATGATGATGGTTTAATAATTTTATATTCGTTTTCCTATTTTTTGGGGTCCTGTCAGTCATGGGCCCTTGGAATTGTCCTAACTTTTCCCCCTATAAGGCTCCTCTGCCTTTATTTACTGTTCTTACAGTATTATACTTACAGTTCTTACAGTATTATACTTACAGTAAGTAAAGGACTGCTATTACTTGATTAATAGAGGCAATTTTAAGGGTCTACCATCAAATTGCTTGTTAAGAACCTAAAGTCATGATCTCAGGTTACAATGGAACTATATTTGTGCCTAAATTCTTAGTGTACAATGGGATCTTTGCAATCGCACAACCGTCTAACGTAATAATGTCATAATGTCTACTGCTGTACTGCAGCTTGTGTACACAACAGCCCATTCATCATTTGAAGTTCATTTGATATTAGCTATCTGGAACACATACACATACACACAGATACAGACAGGCACATTTGCTACCCTTACCTTAAACTCATTCAAACTGCGTTAGTGGTTATTGTAATTTAGCTCAGCACTCCCGCGGGTGTCTTTATGTGCAATCTCTCAAGTCTGATGGAAAACATTTAATTCTCCTGCTGTGTGAGATATGCAATACACCATCAGCGTTCTCTGTTCTTTCATTCTTTCTTAATTAGGCACCTCAGAAGTGCAAGTCAGTTGAGTACACTGGGATAATTAAGCACAATGGGAGGATGTTCATCTCACACAGTGCCTGTTCCTGAATATGGGATAAATATTTGGTCTTTCTTTGTTCCAAGATTTGTTATTAAAGCAAAACTAAATACTTTGAGCATTAAATCAAGTCAGATTCAAACAGATCATTCTTTCTTCTCAGTTTACTGTGTTATGTATTAATGCAACCTTATCCCACCTTTTGTTTCTGTACTTATGTATCCAAGTGAGGAGGAGATTATTGCCTACAGAATCTGTGCTGCATACATTTAAATGTGTTATACACGAATTTGCATACTTGCATGGAATAAAACAACAACAAACATTTCAGCTAAACAGAGTAGCTTATATTTGAGTGTACTGACTCGGCTGTGATTTTAAATCAATAAAAACAAAAACAATTAAACTTGTTGATATTGCTGAGTTTAACATTGTTTGCAGATAGAAATTGAACAGAGAAAACTTGACTTGAAATTAGAATTAAAAATGAATGGGGGGGTCATTAATGAATGCAACAATCAAAAATATATTCAATAAATAATATACAAAAGATGCGGTTCATATTTTTTGGTAGAAAAGAGTCATCTAAGTAAAAAAAAATCAATCGCGGATGGGAAAGTTACTTTTTCATTACATAAAATCTATATCAGTAAATATTTAGCTGCAGGGAAATGTTCACCTCCAGCCTGCCTCAAATTACCCCTTTACCGACATATTTATTCAGTCATACAATAAATCAGAGTTTCATCTTTCACATTTTTTCTCACCCTTCCAGCAGGCTCAGTGATGCTATTCTTTAACCTTGCTATCCATCTGTCTTAGTTCCTGTCCAAAGGGACACAGGCCAGGGATGATATTGCCACCGAGGCCTATGAGGAGGAGCTGGACATGGGAAGATCTGGCTCTTATCTCAACAACAGCATTACCTCAGCCTGGAGCGAGCACAGCTTGGACCCTGAGGATATACGGGTAAAGTAGCATTCAGACACGTGGCAACATCTTCCAAATATCTATGCTTTACTCATGCTGTTCTCTTCAGATTGAGCTCATAGAGGGTGTCAAGTAGGAGACCATTAATGTCAATTAACTCTATCTTAATTGTAGCATGCAATACAAAACACCTTTGTCCAAAGCCATTTACACTAAGTGCATTCAACAATGTAGGAGCAAGAGCTAGATCTAAAATCGGAAGAAAAAAAATCTGAAATGAGGCATAAATAAGTGCTAGCAAGGTTTTTAGCTTGCAGCAGAAGGTGGGCAGCTGTCCCGAGGGTGTAGGGTTTGACCGTTGCTTGGAGGTAGGAAGGAGCCGCTCCCTTCACTGCCCTGTAGGCTAGCACCAAAAGTTTGAACTGGTTTCAAGCAGCACCAAGGAGCCAATGTAGTGATGGGAGAAGAGGAGCAGTATGGGAAAACTTAAGAAGGTTGAATACCAGGAGGGTAGCAGCATTCTTGATTTGTTGATCATCAAAATATGAATCAAACAGTTACATGGTAGAAATTGTATTATTCAAAACCTGCCCAACATTTGCAGTCTCCTTCTTTTTTAGGATGAGTTGAAGAAGCTGTATGCCCAGCTGGAAGTCTACAAATGTAAGAAGATGCTCGCCAACAACCCTCACCTTCAAAAGAAGCGTAATTCCAAGAAAGGTCTGGGCCGCTCTCTGATGAAACGGATAACAGAGATCCCAGAGACCATGCACATACACCGGCAGTGCAGTCGTGAAGACGGCAGCGAACATGGCAGCAACCGGAGCACCTTGAGGAGAAACCCCTTTGAACCGAGTCACCATGGTATAGGATCATGGTTCAGCCTGTTTAATCTGGCCAGGGTGACAGAAGCAGCATAGAATTTAAGATAATTTATCACAGAGTTTCACCTTTGAGATGCAGTATATGACTGAGTTGTTAGATAAGTTAAGGATTGCAGTTTTTTTCTTCTCAAACTTTTTAAAACTGCCTTTATGTCGTTAAGCTCTTTTCCAAATGAGTTAATGTTGCTTATCTTACAACATATTACCAAATATTGTTACTGGTTTTGTCTGTAATTTCTTCATTTCCTCCATTAATCTACAAAATGGAGAGGCAAGCTGTGTTAATGGTTTTTGGAATATGAATGTATAATTAAAAAGATTAAGAAAAGAAGCCAGCCCTGAACAACTGCAATTGTACCTTTCTCACAGCAGACATTTCTGACTTGTCATAATAGGAAAAACACTTACAAGTGTGTTTCAAGCTGAATGCTAACGTCAGTATGTGAATATGCGCAAAATGACAATGCTAACATTGTGGTGTTTAGCTGGTATGTTAGCTTGTTAGCATGCTAACACTTGCTAATTAGAACTTAGACAGCTGAGATTGATGGGAATGGTTTTGCAGGTTCTTGGTAAATGTATTGGACACAGGTAAATTAATGTCTATACAAGGTGTCGTACCATCCATCCAATAATTGTTGAGATACTTTAGTTTGGACAGAATGGTGGCAGAATGACTGACCAACTGGCTGACATTACCATCCTCAGAGCCATGCTATAGCACAAAAATAAATGAACTAGCAAATTATATGTAATTTTAAAATGCAAGGAAAATAAATCATATCAGCAAACTAACCCCACTTTAATGCCATTTTATTATGTTGATCTGTCCCAAGGCAAACCTCGGGATGACTCCCTGAAGAACAAAGTCATGGGTTTGAAGAAGTCACTCAGCTATGACCACGTTTGTGACCAAGATGAGGAAACTGGAAGCCAAACTGGCTCTACTGCAGAAGACAAAATGACTCCTGTTGGAGGCAGTGGGGAAGGTTCTCTTCTGGGTTCCCTGATTGGTCGGAAACATGCAAAGAAGCAGCTGGAACCTGCCGCAACTCCACCGAGACTTGAACCAGCTGAGTCCACTGAGTCTGTCCCACTGTTCTGGAAATCAGCCAGTGCTCACAACTTAACGCACGAGAAGAAACCCGTCCACCTGCGGACCTCTATCATGCAGAAGTCTCTGAGTGTAATTGCAAGTGCCAAAGAGAAAATGCCCGGGCTGACCAACAAGACGCAAAGTGTGGAGGACGCCAGTAAAAAGGGCCTGAAGGGACAGGAGGAGAGAATGCTATCTGAGGTGGATGAGACACCTGAGCATTACCCTAAGATGATCATCAGCCAGTCAGTGGAGTACTCAAAGACACCCATGAAGATGGGGATCATGAAACAACAGGTACTTTTTTACATACTTTCATTCAAACAGGATGTGTGTGAGGATTTACAGTATTTTTTGTTGTTGTAGATCAAATACCCTTTTGAGCAAAACATTTATATACTTTCGGTGTTTGAAAAGGTATTTGGAAAAAGTAGTTCTTAACTCAAAATCTTAACTTAAGCTCCACTTAAAGTTTTTATGGAACTTTCAATTATCTCTCAGTCGATGGAGACCCTCCTACACGGAGCATAACATCTTATTAGTGAGAAGGAGGATAGAGAGATTGAGGTGAGGCTTGTTGTTTTGTTTGTTTCTCTGGCCAACAAAGACAAGGAGTGGATAATGAGAATCCTGCCCAGACTTTAGCTTCCAGGATGGACACTGTTAATCAACAAGAACTACCAAAATCATCCCAGTGGGACCCCTTATGTGGCTGGGCTGTTGGAACATCTGGCTTTTAAACCTGCAGTAACTTGCTGTAAACACAACATCGACATATCAACTTTGAAGTTAATATGGCAAAGCTTTATATATATAGCTATATAGCAAACAGATGCCGATTTACACCTACAGTATATACAGAGCAATGTTAGCATTAATTCCAATAGTCACTCTCCTTTGAGCTCTGTCTCTACTTACTTCTCAGGAGCAATATCTGGACCTTTAGCAGCTTAATGCTCCACCATATTCACTGACTAGTTGCTAACTAGTGCTGATAAGGGAATGTACAGTTTATCAAATCTTTTTCGCTGAAAAAACAGCTTCCTGTTGCTGCTGGCAACGACACTGATGAGAGACTGTATTAAAACATGAAAGCTGTTGGCCATATGACCAAAACAATTAGGTAAAAGGAGCTAAAACGCTAGTCGCATAGTCATTTGATCCATTGTCAATATAAAATTATGGATCACAGCAGCATTAAGTTGTAGAAAGTCAGCACTTACCACAAGCTATTTAACACCCTAAGATATCTGCTGGTACACCCTAAAGGAGGGCTTCCTTGGAGAGGAAGACTAAAGCAATGTATGACACCACATGCAGTAGCTAAAATTAGGAAATTTTAAATTGTTTAAAGATCATCCTTGAACAGAGAGAGGGATTATAATCTCTGCACCATATACTGCCACGTGTTATCAAATGTCAGTGTCACAAATTCCATACATTGGTCACATAATGAGAACTGGACAAATGCTATCCTCTGATGAAGATGTCAAGTGCAATCGAAAGCGCTGGAAAAAGTTAGCAAATGGACCTCGAGTTAAGATTTTTTTTTTTTACTGAATAACTTGCTTTTGGACCACAAAACAAGCAATCCATCAAGCAAAGACATCAGCTTGAGCTTTTGGAAATTTTTCGCTATTTTCAGACATTTGGATAATAGATTAAACGATAAATCAGTTCATTCAATAATACAAAATATTTGATAATTTTAAAAAATGATCAATAGTTTGATTTATACAGTAATTGATTTTTTTTTTTTTTTTCATTGATCTATTTTTATTGCTTGATTTTAACAGGTAAGTGGCAGCCAGCCATCCATTTGCTCCGAGACTGGTAGAAACCTCTATGATGTGTCCGAGGTTTGTCCCTGGGAGTTGGAAGAGCCTCAGACTCCCTCTGAAGCAAAGACCCAGAAACATGTTTCCATTGCTCCCGGAGAAACAACCACCGGCCGGAGGGGCAGCAGCAGCAGCTCTGGGATGACCAAAGGTAACCGCTCCCAGCAGAGGCAGAAATCAGTGCAGTCCCCTTCCAACAGACGCCGCTCCAAAGATAAAGGAGGAGAAAGGGAGGAAGGAAGGGAAACACGGAAATCTCGGCCACCCAGGTCACCTCTCCCTCTTAAGCCAGACGTCTGTCCCTGGGAATTTGATGAGCAGCCAATGCTGGGAAGAGATTCAGATTCCATCTCCCCAGACAGAATCAGGCGTAAGAAAAGCGTCACTCCCACTGATGGGAAACCCAAAGGGCTCCACTCAGACCACTCTAAGTCCACAGGGAGCCTTTTACAGCCCCCCTCTCTGATGGTAGAGATCTGCCCATGGGATTACTCCAGCCCACCTTCACCTAAGCAAGAGAAGACCTGCAACAGCCCCACCACACACAAGAAGAAACGGAAAGGCTCCTGCTCGTCCAACCACAAAGCCGAGAAGGACAAAGGGAGGGAGAAAAGCAGAGAAAGGCGGAGCTCCTCCAGCAAGCCGCCATCAGAGAGGAGACGCGTTAGCCAGTCGTCAGAGTGCAGCGGGCCAGTTTCTGAGCGGCGGAGGAGCTCCACCAGAGACCCAGAGGTGATGGAGATCAGGAGGCCGGAGGTTTTCTCCCGGGAGGCCGAACCCTCACACACCAGCTTTGCTCAGACTAAAAAATCATCAGAGAAGAAGAAAGAGAGCTCCTTGAGTACTAGTTACAAACCTGCAGTCATGGCTGATGTTTGCCCCTGGGACTTTCAGGAGCAAGACTCCGAAGAGAGGGCATGATGACTGGTGTGATGATTGTATTTTTTGTATTCAAAGACTGACAGCACAGAGGACAAAGCGAAGGAACTGAAAGATAAAGATGTAGAATTGTTTTTCTGAAAAGTGAAAAAAGATTTTGTGAGGAAACAAAGATGTATTCTGCTGTCCATGATGCAATTCAAACATTACCATTTGCTAAATAACAAACTTCTTGTTGTTACATTGCAATGAATGCAACCTTGAAGTCACTTTAAAGGAATTTTCAGTCTGCACTTTTGCTTGCACATTTGTCAGAGTTACACTGTATGTATGTTTTATCACACTGAGTACATCAAGGTCATTGAAAATACATACCTGTATTTACCAGCAGATCAGACAATCATGTGTCACAAACACAGTAAAAGCCTCACCTAATGAGCTTATTGAATTTTGATGAATGTTTCCCATTACGCTGGTGATATTCCACGTTACGCAGTAAGTCAGTGGAGACTTACTGTATCAGATGATAAAAACAAGCAAGCAGCAGGAAAAAAGACCTGAGGAAAAATGGGATATCAGCTCTGAGAAGCAGAACCAAAGCCCCAGACACAGGAGTGATGTCTTACCTGTAGGCCAAATACATAATTCATGGCACAAATATGATCTGTTTGATTAGTGAAATGTGGGAATAACAAAGGATTGTAGTACAGCTTCATTTTAAATTGAGAAAAAACTGTATGTTTCAGTAAAAGTGCTCAATATGTATTTTTCTAAAAAGCCATTGCATGTGGCAAACTATCAGCATCCAATAACTAAATGTTTATTGGTTAACTTGTACTCAAATATGACAGTGGAACTTTTGATGTTGTTGCTTATGGTATTTGTCTCCTTATGTACCACATGATGCTTTTGAAATGATGTGCATCGCCATCAATAATGAACACACATATTTCAAATGGCTTGCAGTTACAGCTGAGCAGCAGTATTAAAATATCCATGAGGCTCTCCCTTTTGTTGATATTTATTTACTGTTTACTCTATATTCTTGCCCTGGATGTCCCTTCTCAGAGGCTGTAGTATTTCCATGTGTCTAAAAAATGTTCGGAAGTCTTTCAAGGACTAAAACCAAGCCTGACTAGGGTGGATGATGTGAATAATGCATTTTTTTCTGTCACTGAGTTACCCATTTTACATCTGCTTGAATGCACCTTCTTTCAAATCTTTGCACATATTCAATCGCTAAAACCACCACAATGCATGACCAAAGCTTTTCTTTTTGCCACTTTCTCACTAACAGAAAATGAGTAATTTCAGCATCACCTCCAACAACGACAACAACAGTCAGCCTTTCTGCCCTGTGATCAGCCACCCACCTTTGACACCTAATGCAATGCTGTCACACATGGCAGCTTCATTATTCTGTGTGCATGACAGTAAAAAACAGGGGTTATGATACAGTAACGTTCACCAGAAGGCATTAAAAAATCATTGCATATATTATGAAATACTTAAAGAGGACATGGGATTTTCAAATATAGATGTCAGATGTTGTCATGTATTTATCAAGCATTTTAGGGAAGAACTTTCTGTGCAAACGTCCTTTTTTGCTCATCAAGCATTCAGAAAAGAGCATCAATAAAGTGAAAGCTTGATAAATAAACATGACCCACCACTCAAACTTTCACAAGGTTTTTTTCTATCCGATGGTTTTAGGCAGTTTGAAATGGAATGTTGTAACTTGCCCACTACATGTATTTTATGCTTGTTATACTGTGTAGTGTTGCTCCAAAAAGTTACAAAATGTTGTAGCATCCACATGGGAGTATTTATATTGTACATTCATATTGTGTCGCATGTACATACAATAAATACCCTGTTCTCGATTCTGGATTAAATATTTCTATAAATCCCCAGTTTGCTCAAGGCCTGTACATTTCTTAATTATGTATTGTTTGTTTGTTTGAGGTTTACAGTAATAATCCACTTATCCCCTGCAACCTGTCTATCAAACTGCAAACATGTTGCTCATCTCTTTTATCACCTAACCAAACCATACCTGCCTGAGACTTTCCTTATACAGTCGATTGATCAGTCATAGATATCAACAGAACATTATCTTCATCTTTATGTTTAGAAAATTCCATATTTTCAGTCAGTTGATACAGAAATGTTAAATACCATAAAACCCCACAATATGCAACAATATGCTTAAAATGCAATCTTTCATATTTACCCATCAATAGGAAAATGCCTTTAATATCTATTTTTAATAGAAAGCAACAAATTCTGTATTCTTTCAGCCTTCAAACACCTGCACACACTCAATTCAACCAAATTAATTTTAGTTCACTATAACAGGTATAGGGTGTTCTAGCAGTCTGTACAACACTGCCACCATGTGGAGAATGAGACCCTTCATATCTAGACAGTAGTTGGTGTAAAGTAACATTAACTCAATTACTGTACTTGAGGTAGAACCAGAGTATTTTTATTGTATGCTTCTACTCTACTGGATTTGAAAGGGGAAATACTGTACTTTTTTCACCACTACATTTATTCTTCAGCTGTTGTTCCTCGTTAAGCTTGAATGGTACTTCAATCATCCTAATGACCCTTAAAGTGATCTTGTACCAAAGCGTGGGAGTGAACAATTCTGTGAATGTATTCAATATAAAACTTTGTGCAGAATTTAGTAGGGTATTATTTTAAGGATGCATTGTGTTCAAGGAAGGCACCAGCAGTATTGGAAGAAACAGAGAGATACTCCATTACAAGTCTGGCTTTCGTACTTTTACTACTTTTAAGTTTTTACAGATAATCATTATGATGATTATGATTACTGATGTATTAAGGTGTAAGCAGCATTTTAATGTAATAACTTAATTTATTGACAAAGGCTACTTTAAATTATAGTAAAGCATTGTATTTTATAAGATGCTCATTGTGTGTGTTAAATTTTAAATTTTAAATATATCTGTAAAAAGGAATAGTAGAGTAAAAAGTGATATTTACATCTCCAAGTACCTCAAAATTGTGATTAACGACAATAGTTGAGTAAATCATTCATAAGCCCATTATTAGAAACAGTCCAACAACAAGTTAATGATTATTTGACTGAGGCAGTTGTTGTAGCCTATCTTCCCAGCTCCACCAGCACCCATCTACATCCTGCTAAACTAATGAGCGGCAGTGACGTCATCGCTGCAGCACCGGACAGGGCTGCGTCCCTGCTGGAACAGCCGATCCGACCTGACACGCATCACACATCAGACCGGCACAACACAGCACATCATCAACACAGACAGCTTTCATTGCTCACTTTCTGACCACAAACAGCGCTCCGGACTGTCATGGGCAACGTACAGGTAAGAAAAGTGGATTTTCTACAACTTCTGCAGCTAAAACAACATCAGCTCTTGTTAACCAGTGCATCAAATCTGCATGACTGCAATGGGTGGGTTCACTAATCAGACACTGTTACAGTGCTGGAAGTTCGGGTTTGCAGTGAAACAGTAGGATAAACGTGAAAAATGGATGGATGAAAAGCAAAAGTCATAAAATAACAGGGCTACAGTATCACTAAAGTATCACTGAGTAAGCTACTTCATAATACAGACATACTATTATAGGCTTATTTTTTATTTTTATAAGACTTTGTGCGCAAACTGTGAACAGTCAGAGTGCAGAACTTGCGCAGTTAACTCAGGCAAAGGGAGTGTGCCCTGCCTGGCCGAGGAGGCAGCAGCAGCAGCAGCAGCAGCCAGGAGGAATGTCTCAGAAACGCCGATCAATAAGGCCGCATTGTATTCAGCGGAGGGTGGGCGAGGAGGAGAGGAGACTGCATACTGCTGCTGAACACTGCTGCTGCTGCTGCTGCTGCCCCATGACTCAGCAAACACACACAGGCTGCACCCTTTTCCTGCGGGACAAACTGCCCTGAATTTGCTGTGATGAATCCTTTCCAGAACTTCCCTCTTTAATCTGTTTGACTGGAGAGAATCATAATTGTAGCTTTACACTAGTAAATCTTTTAAAATATTAGCTTTGTTCTGCTTTACTTTGTAAGACTTTGCAGGCTCCTTTGAATGTACACTATATCTGCAATAATACACTTAAAGTATATTTTAAATGGGTTATTTTATAGTTTTTATGTGTTTGCTAAGATTTTATGAATGATGTATATATTTACGTTTTCTTCTCCAGCCTACCATAGTCCCATATGAGGACTTTGATGTCACAGCTGATATCAAGGCTATCAGAAAAGCATGTAAAGGTTTAGGTAAGTGTACAGTACATGAGGTTTGGCTTGTTCCTCTATAAGTAACTGTGTATCATTCCTTCCTCTCATTTAATCCTCTAATGAAACCTCTTTGTCTTTTTGCATGTGATGAAGGCATCCGTTATCATCTGATTAGAGTGAAAGGCGACTATCAGTGCAGTCACAATATCTTCCTTAAATCAGAACCAACAACAATCAACAACAATGTAATCAGTAATCAGTTCTCCCTCTCTCCCCCTTTCCTGTCTGTCTCGTGCTGTCCTGTCGATTAAAGGCCAAGAGTCCACTACAAAACATATTAAAAGTGTATTATGCATCGAGATGAAAGGCTACTTTAACAGTGACAGGCTTCAATGCACAATATAAATTAATAAATTAATGTATTTATAATGTATTGTGAATATAACATTTAAAAACAGCCATTTTCCCACCTTGTTACCAGTAAAATGTCAGCCTGGCAGCCATTTTAATAAAAGGCCTGTCCACAGTGAGTGACAAGACTTCTAGACTGCGTTCAGTCTTTAAAATGTCTTTTAGTTGTCCAGTAAATTGCTATGATGGTTAAGCACTTTTACTGTATTTGAAGGATTCGGAAGTTAACCCTTTATGCGTATATTGCTCTCCAGGGACAGACGAAGAGGCCATTATTCAAATCCTGGCCAATCGTTCTGCCGCTCAGCGGGTGGAAATCAAACAGGCCTACTTTGAGAAGTACGACGATGTAAGTACCTGTCTGTCTCCCTCTTTCTCTTACACACACACACTTTCACACATGACAACCATGCACCTTGTTAATTCTTTCTTTGTTCAGGAGTTGGAGGAGGTCTTGAAGAAGGAGCTGACAGGTAGTTTTGAGAAGGCCACCATGGCCATGTTGGACCCTCCTCATGTTTACTTCGCCAAGGAGCTGAGGAAGGCCATGAAGGGGGCGGGCACAGATGAAGCGGTGCTGGTAGAGATCCTGTGCACAGCCACGAATGAGGTGTGTCAATATGTAATACTATTGTTGTGCAACATGTTTCTATTTTCACCCTTTCCTTAACTTAAGGTTAACTGTTTTAAACTTATTGGCATTATGAGTTACATGCTTTATTTATTGTAGAGTCTGTTCTCACTGCCAGTTGATTTTCTATTTAAAGAACAAACTGATTATGATATTAGCTCCATTTTGTGTACCACTGTTCAGTAAGGCATACTTAAAGAGGTACTGCATCCTAAAACAAGTTTTTTTAGCTGTAAACTAAATTATATATTGATGAAACACATCAATGATGGTGTAAAAACTGACATTATTACCACATTTATGAAAATCTGCATTTTGTGGGTTAAAAATGTCTTAACACACCCTCTACTGTTTGAAATCACCCAGGATCTCGTAAGCCCAATGCTGAGATAGAGTCGACCGTTTGGTGCGACTCTACGTCAGATCATTTCTCTATAAAAACTGTGTTAGCGCCCTCTAATCAGAGGAGGGCAGCCCACCTCCTCCAGCCTCCACTTTGAGTGGGAGTCTGTGAAACGGCTGCGCTCAATTTTAAATGTATGCTGATCGATGACACATCATTCACAGGAGTGAATAACAGGAGGAGTAACTTGTGCTTTAGACGACTGTAGAAACACCACCTGACCAGAATGTTTATCTTGATCCTTGCACTGACAGCCCCCCTAGCAGACACAGAGTTATCCTTTCTGAACTGTTCGCTCAGCTACAACACAGGTACCCCACAGAAACAACCGTCAAAGTGTTTCAAATGACTGTAAAAGCTTCAGAGCAACTGCTCAACAGCTCGCTGTTTCTGCTACGCTGCTGTGGTCAGTCTGTCAATCACTGTGGCCTGTGTCAAGGCCACGCCCCCTAAAGTCCTTTGCCGGTCTCAGATGTATTTTTTAAAAGTTGCTGAGAGGGAGGGAGCTAGCAGAACTTTAATAAGGGGCAATAAGTTAATAAGTTCTAACTAATGGCTTTATTCTTGTTAATTACTCATTTATTAATGTAACAAGTGGTGCAGCGGTATACCGATACCATGGTAGTGTACAGTGGGATTGTCAGCTGCCAGTTAAAATATGAGAGCATTGAGAATGAATCAAAACAGTAAAGTTGTGAGCTGTTAAACCAAAATATTAAGGTGAAAAATGCTCCATAAAGCTGACTAAATGTCATCTTTCTTTTACTTCTAACAGGACATCTTGAGCTACAAGGAAGCTTATGCCCAGGGTGAGTTTTCTTCCATGCTGAGTCATGCATTCACAGATACCAATTTGATGTTCATTTCATCCTGGAAAGTGTGGTCCTTTAACCAGCACATTAACAGAGAAGTACTACGTTTTGCATTTGTCTTAATGTTGTGGGTGTTTCACTCTTAGAAGTGAATCACTGTGTAATGAGCCATACTTTCACTGGCCACAAACACAGTCTGATATCATCCTCCTCTGGGTCACATTTTACTTATTACACTTCATTTATTATTTTGTAGCACTGTACTGGAAGGAACACAGATATTGTACATCTGTTGATGTTGTGAACAGTTTGGTAAGACACTACTTAAGTGTTGAGTATTTCTGGCTCTTACCTTACAGTGAATGAGCGTGACTTAGAGGCAGACATTGAGGATGACACCAGTGGAGATGTGAGGA